GTCTCCATAAAATAGTACCTCCCTATATGGATGATTTAAGCTACATTATTACCGATTTTTTTTCCAGTTTCGCATTTGAATATTGTAATGGCTTATAAAAAAAGTTACCTTTGCAGGTCCACATCGTCGTTGAGACCCTAATATGACGGCTACATTTGGTATTTTTAAGATTTGAACAGAATTTTTAACGGTTTTTTTTTTTTGAAAATTGGCAAATTCTTTCCATATGATGGAGGGTATTCAAAGTCCGGACAGGCCGAACTTATCGCTTTTTTACTTGTTCTTATTGTAAATTACACCCCCATTTTTACTAACCCCCCAATCATTTACTCAAGGTTGTTTCATCATGTCCTGTCTCGAATCACTTATTAATCAATTGATTTGCATAACATGAATCCCTGTGGTTTTTTGGCACATTTTGAGGGTCATGTGCGGCATAGAAGGGGTAACGGAACATATTTTTTGCATATGAACATTGAATAAGATTTAGATATTTGGAAATGTAATTTTGGCCATGATGATGTTATTGAACATCGTTTCAGGCGCCAGTTATGTCCACAAATTTCCATTATCACTTTAACAGACTCTTTGCACTTCGATTTTATGGGGGTATATATTAGGACGTTGAGAAAAATTACATTTTCTTCCTTTAAATTTTCAAAAGTAGAAGGAGAACAGAATATTCTTCGAAGTCCCATCCCATAGAGTATATATATACAGGGTGAGATAAAAAAAACTGCCAAACGCCATAATTTTTACATTATTTTTCAAATTTTATTGAATGAAGGCAAAAAATGATGATGCCCCATGTTGGGCGCCATATTACCAAGGTAGATTTTTTTTAAATTAAAGGAAAGATAAAAAATGAAACCAAATTAAACGGCATAATTTTTACATTTTTTTTTTAAATTTTATTGAATGAAGGCAAACAATGATGATGATGCCCCATGTTGGGCGCCATATTACTAAGGTAGATTTTTTTAAATAAAAGGAAAGATATGTTGGGTTTTTTCAAGATAAAAAAAAACTGCAACAAAGTCAAACGCCATAATTTTTACATTTTTTCTAAAATCTTATTGAATGAAAGCAAAGAAATGTCCGAAATAGCATCAAATTTTCGAATAACTTTAGATTTGTTCGAATTGGTCACCATTCGTGCCAAAGAATTATGACCTTCGAAAACGGCCAAAGAAACCGTCACACGCTGCCCGAATGTTGCCCTGCGGTATTTTGGCCCATTCCCGGTGAAGCGTTTGCTTGAGATGTTCAACACTTTGGTATTTTTTCTGTGCCAACCTTGCTTTCCAAAATACTCCAGACACAATAGTCCAAGGGATTGGTACCCGGTGTTTTTTGGTGACCATTGTGCGCAGGGAAATGAAGCGAGAAACCTCATTTTGTAACCATTCTTGAGTGGTGCGTGCTGAGTGCGATGGTGCTGAGTCCTGTTGGAATGTTCAAGGTCTGCGGCCATGTTTGTTTGCGTGCCCAAGGCTTTAATACACCCTCCAGAATATTTTCGCGATAATATTCGGCATTTATTCTGATGCCACATTCGATTAATACGAGCGGAGAGCGACCATTGGCTGTTATGGCGGCTCACATCATCACCATGGCCGACACAAACTTGTACATCTTTAATTGCACAGCCAAACCTACCCAACGCACTCCAGAAGATCTCTGGCTACAGCCCATTAAAGTAGCCGAATTTCTAAGCCTGGAGCTGGAACCAGATTAGCAGAACGCAAACACTTGCATATACTACTGCTACAACAATAACAATGGCCGGCGCTTGAGTTCTGGTGGCCGGCCAACCGAAAGTGCACATTTTCAGCTGACATCTTTGGCAGGTAAATACGATCCATTTGTTTGTTTACAACCGGCTGGACAACGAATGTTTTCTTATCGGAGAGAGAGAAAACCAAATTCGGCAGTTGACCACTTTCGGCCAAGCGAAGCAACTCTTTAGCTCTTTTGAGTCTATTTTCTTTCTGTTGCGGTTGCGGTGTAAGTTCTTGTACTTTTTGGAATTTCAATGGCTTTACACCGAGTTCATTTTTCAATATTTGCCGAATGGAATATTGCGATATGTTCAGCTCACGAGTCCTTTTTCGGCCACTGCGACGTGGGTGGTTTCGATCAAGTCGCTTCTTTAATTTTTAGAACCATTTTTGTTAAAGTTGCTGTTTGCTTCCTTCCTCTTCCTTGACGTCGGGCTACGCTACCAGTATCACGGTAACGAGCGATGGTACGAGACACAAACGGTTTATTCACATTTAAATGCTGGAGTGCTCTAACGATAGCCACTGGCGGTTTTCCCAGCCAAATATAAAGAAATCACATCTCTATCACGCTTGAATTCCATCACAAATAACTTCTTTTCTGGAAAATTCTCAACAAAAATGCTTTTGTACGCTTGTAAACAATATAATGAGCTGTCACTGGAATAATTTTAACAGCTGTCGGACGAAAGCTACCTCTAAAATGTCAAAGTTCTATATATTTAATGTTGCGGAAAATATCTCAAAATATTGAGGTCCCTTTGTATATGGCCCAAAACTTTTTAGGGATTTTTATTTACAAAAATAGTACTATTAAATTCTTTATAGGATTAAAATAATCCAGTCTGGCTTTTAAACAGTGAAATTAATAGAAATTTTGCAGTAATTTTGGAAAAAAAAACGCTAAATTTGTCGAAAATATAAAAGGGGTTTTATGAACCAAAATTGATGATATTGTTTATGTAAATATTAGTTATGCAACTTTCTTTTATTCAGAGACTCACAATGAAATTTGATTTAGAACAGTTCTTACTTTGACACTTTCTCCAAAAAATGAAGTATTAAGGGAGGATTTTGCCTCTGATTGGATACGTGTTAAATTGAGAGTAAAATATCAAATACATCATTTTCACTTTTAGTACATACATATTGAATACAATTTGCATAAAAACTATTATACCTAGATATATGGTTTATTTTGAGATTTATTGTGAAATGTTGTGTAGAATATTACTTCTTCTGACATCTTCCTCCTAAAATTAAATTTTATGCTACTTTCGGCGGTCAACTCAAAATAAAGTCCGTGGAAAAATTAATCAAAAAATTTTGGGAATATTTTTCTTTTTTTTGGCAACATTGATGTACATATTTTCTTGATATATAGTGAAAATTAAGATTTATTTTCTTTGGTGACTTATATTGAAATTTAATACGGAATATTTTTGTCATTGACAGCATCCTTCGAAAATAATGCCAAGTACGAGAATTTTCATAAAACCACAAATAAAGTACGACTTTAAACCTAAAAAAAGCATAATTTTTACTTTTAATCTATAAATTTCGAATGTAATTTCCTTATAAACTATTGTACCTAGATATGGGGTTTATTCTGAGATTTATAGTGAAATTTTGTGTAGAATATTTCTTCTTTTGGAACTTTCTGCATAAAACAAAATTTTATGTTACTTTTAGGCGTCAACTCGAAAAAAAAGTTCGTCAAAAAATTAATCAAAAAAAAAGTGAATATTTTTGCGTTTTTTTGCAATATTGATTCAAATATTTTTTGGATATATAGTGGAAATAGAAATATCTTTTCCTTGGTGCCTTATAGTGAAATTTGATAAAGAATATTTTTCTCCTTGACGTCATCCTTCTAAAATGATGCTAAGTAGGAGAATTTTCATAAAATCACCAAAGGAAGTACGACTTTAAACCTAAAAAGAAGGTAATGTTTAATTTTAATCTACAAATTTCGAATGTAATTTCCTTATAAACTATTTGACCTATATATAGGGTTTATTCTGAGATTTGTAGTGAAATTTTGTGTGGTATATTTCTTCTTTTGGTACTTTTTGCAGAAAATGAAATTTTATGTTACTTTAAGGCGTCAACTCGAAAAATGTCCATGGAAAAATTATTTAAAAAATTTTAGGAATATTTTCGTTGTTTTGGGAAATATTGATTCAAATATTTTCTGGATGTAAAATGGAAATAGAAATTTCTTGTCTTTGATGACTTATAGTGAAATTTAGTGCAAAATATTTTTGTCTTTGATATCATCTTTCTAAAATGATGCTAACTAGGAGAATTTTGCATAAATTCACACATCAAATACTACTTTAAACATAAAAAAACACAATTTTTACTTTTAGTCTATAAATATCGAATGTAATTTTCTTATAAACAATATGATCTAGATATAGGATTTATTCTGAGATTTAAAGTGAAATTTTGTGCAGAATATTTCTTTCTTTGACACCTTCCGTCAAAAGCGAAATTTGATGTTATTTTCAGGCGGTAACTAATAAAAAGTCGGTGGAAAAAATGATAAAAAAAACTTTGGGAATATTTTTACGTTTTTTTTTTAAGAATTTTAATGCAGACATTTTCCGGATATACAATGGAAATAAAAGTTTCTTGTTTTTGATGACTTTTAGTAAAATTTAATGAAGAATATTTTTGTCCTTGACATCATCTTTCTAAAATGTTACATTGCTGGAGATTTTTACACAAACTCACATAAAGTATAGTTTTAACCCTAAAATGTGTTTTTAATAGATATGAATTCCTGCCGTTTGGGTAAGATTTAGACTCTTGACTCCTTCTAGAACCTAGAATTTTGCGGCAAATAATTTTGTAGAATATTTTGACTTGCTATGATGCCGTTTTAATGCTGGTTTTAAGCATATTTTCAAAAACGGGCCAAAAAGACCCATTTGTTAACTCGGCTGAGGGTTAAAATTGTAGACCTAAATATTCCTCGTATTCTTATCTCCAATATTGCCGAAGACACTATAGACCTAAAATGCACGGATTCCAAGGAGTCTTAATTTGAAAATTTCCAAAAAAAATGTGGAAACGCAAAAAAGTTCATTTTTTTTGGCGATACGACCCAATGTCCAATTAATACACATGTAAATATGCGCGTTAAAATTTGATAAAGGAAATATGAAAATATCTTAGGCGCTGCTCCTCCCTCTACATATAAAAGAATGGGAAAGTCTGTCGGGGTTAATCATTCGCAACAACGTTCGCCGAGCAGAGCAAAAGAAAACATTGAAGAGAAAAGAAAGTAGAGTTGGCTATGAAGTGCTTGGTGATGCAAGCAGTTGTTACGGTTGCCATACTGGCAACCCTCGTTGTGGATTTCACATCAGGACATGGTATGATGTTGAATCCACCTGGAAGATCATCGCGTTGGCGTTTTGATCCCTCCGCTCCCACCAACTACAATGATAATGGCTATTTTTGTGGTGGTTTTGGGGTGAGTTGGACGAAAAAATGTGGGTATTCCGACAAAAACTTATTTATTTGACTTTCTTTTTTAGGTCCACTATTACGAAAATGACGGCAAGTGTGGCCTATGCGGTGACAACTATGCCGATCCTGTGCCCCGTGACAATGAGCTGGGTGGCAAATATGGCGGCACTGGCGTCATTGTCAAACACTTTGTGGACTCCTATACTGCTGTGATTGGTTTCAAAATCACCGCCAATCATTTGGGCCACATCAGCTATCAGCTGTGTAATTTGGATGAATTCGGTGGGGAATCGGAAGAATGTTTTGCCAAATATCCATTGAAATTTGCCGATGGCAGTGATAAGTTTTATATTGGCAATACCTTGGGCGATATTGAAACGACAGTCGTCTGGCCATCGGGTTTGAGTTGTTCACATTGTGTGTTGCGTTGGACCTACACGGCCGGTAATAATTGGGGTGTTTGTGAGGATGGTACCGGGGCCATGGGTTGTGGTAACCAGGAGACCTTCAAGTCATGTGCTGACATTAGTATTGTGGCTCCGGGTGCCTAGATGGTGGCAGCTGGAGATGTTCTCTACGATGTAGTTCCTGAGGTATAACAATGGATGTCTAGAAATAAATATATACATTTCAATTGCAGCGTGCGTTGATACATAAATATAATCAGAAATGTAAAGGAAATTGAAGCTAAACAGGCGTGTGTGTTTTTTTGTATTGACTTGAATTGGGTATTTTGGCTTGAAAACTTCTTGAGGGATCTTAGAGAGAGGTTCTATGGAAACGTGTTTTTTTGTAAATAATTTGTTTTGTAGTCTTTTTAATACCTTTTGAGTTTTTGTAAAATTCTCCTACACAGCATAATTTTAGAAGGATGACGTCAGGGACAAAAATATTCTTCATCAAATTTTACTAGAAGTCACCAAAAAAAAAGAAATCTCTATTTCCATTATTTATCAAAAAATTCTTTACATCAATATTATAAAAAAAAAAAAAAATATTTCATAATTTTGAAGCAATTTTTCTTTGGATTTTTTTCAATTTAATGCATAAAAGTAATCTTAAATTTCGTTTTAGGCCGAAAGTGTCAAAAGAAGAAATATTCTAGACAAAATTTCACTATAAATCTCAGAATAGACCATATACCTAAATTTAATAGTTTTCAAGGAAATTACATTTGAATTTAAATTTTTTAAAAGAGAAAACTATTTGATTAGATTTTTTACTCCCAATTTCTCACGTTTCCACTCTAAGTCAATAACTCCCTTAATACTTCACTTTCTGGGGAAAGTGTCAAAGGAAGAAATATTCTAGATCACATTTCATCGGGAGTCTCTGAACAAAAGAAATTTCTATACTCAATACGGACCTTTAAAAATAGCATTAATTTTATTTAATAAATACCCATTTATATTGTATTAAAACACAACAGAAGCCTACTTAATGTTAGATTTTATAAAATTCTCCTACATAGCGTCATTTTAGAAAGATGATGTCAAAGGCAAAAATATTCTTCATCAAATTTTACTAAAAGTCAACAAAAGAAAGAAACCTCTATTACCATCAAGAAAATATTTATATCAATGTTGACAAAAACGCGAAACTATTATCTAATTTTTTGAAGCAATTTTTCTTCGCACTTTTTTCGATTTAATGCATGAAAGTAACCTTAAATTTGCTTTTATGCAGAACGTGTCAAAAAAAGAAATATTCTACACAAAATTTCACTATAAATCTCAAAATAAACCATATATCTAGATTCAATAGTTTTTAAGGAAATACCATTTGAATTTAAATGTTCTTAAAGGGAAAACTATGTGATTAGATTTTGTACTCCAAATTTCTCACGTTGTCATTCTAAGTCATTATCTTCCTTTATACCTCACTTTCTGAGGAAAGTGTCAAAGGAAGAAATATTCTAGATCAAATTCCATCGGGGGTCTCTTAACAAAAGAAATTTCTATACTCAATACGTACCTTTAAAAATAGCATTATTTTTATTTTATAAAAACCCATTTATGTAATATTAAAAACACATGTTTGCGGTTAAAGCCCTACTTCATGTGAGTTTTTGTAAAATTCTCCTACGTAGCGTCATTTTAGAAGGATGATGTCAAAGATAAAAATTTTCCTTATCAAATTTCACCATAAGTCGCCAAAGAAAATAAGTCTCTATTTCCATTATTTATCAATAAATTATTTACATCGATATTATAAAAAAATCAAAAATATTTCCTCATTTTTGATGCAATTTTTCTTCGGACTTTTTTCGATTTAATGCATGAAATTAAACTTAAATTTCGTTTTAGGCACAAAGTGTCAAAAGAAGAAATATTCTAGACAAAATTTCACTATAAATATCAGAATAAACCATATATCTAGATTCAATAGTTTTTAAGGTAATTACATTGAATTATGAATATTTTAAAAGAGAAAAAGTTTACGTTTGTTTCTCCTAATTTGACATGTTTTCATTCTAAGTCAATAACTCCCTTATTACTTCACTTTCTAGGGAAAGTGCCAGAGGAAGAAATATCCTAGATCAAATTTCATTGGGAGTCTCTGAACAAAAGAAATTTCTATACTCAATACGTACGATTAAAAATAGAATTTATTTTAGTTAATAAAACAACATTTATATAATATTAAAAACACATTTTGGGGTTAAAGCCCTACTTCATGTGAGTCTTTGTAAAATTCTCCTACATAGCGTCATTTTAGAAAGATGATGTCAAAGACAAAAATATTCCCTATCAAATTTTACTATAAGTCACCAAAGAAAAGAAATCTCTATTTTCAATATATATCAAGAAAATATTTATATCAATATTTCAAAAAATGCAAAAATATTTCCTCATTTTTGAAGCAATTTTTCTTTTGACTTTTTTCCATTTAATGGATGAAAGTTACCTTAAACTTCGCTGTAGGCAAAAAGGTCTCAAAAAAAAAAAATTATATTCTATACAAAATTTCACTATAAATCTCAGAATAGACCATATATCTAAATGTAATAGTTTTTAAGGAAAATACATTTGAATTAAAATTTTTTAAAAGAGAAAACAATGTGATTAGGCTTTTTACTCCTAATTTGACACGTTTCCACTCTAAGTCAATAACTCCCTTAATACGTCACTTTCTAGGGAAAGTGTCAAAGGAAGAAATATACTAGATCAAATTTCATGGGGGGTCTCAGAACAAATAAAACTTATATACTCAATACGTACCTTTAAAAATAGCATTAATTTTAGTTAATGAAAAACCATTCATATTATATTAAAGCACATTTTGGGGTTAAAGCCCTACTTCATGTGAGTCTTTGTAAAATTCTGCTACATAGCGTCATTTTAGCGTCAAAGATTAAAATTTTCCCTATCAAATTTTACTATAAGTCACCGAAGAAAAAAAATCTCTATTTCCATTATTTATAAAAAATTATTTACATCCATATTATAAAAAAATGCAAAAACATTTCCTCATTTTTGAAGAAATTTTTCTTAGGACTTTGTTCGATTTAATGCATGAACGTAACCTTAAATTTCGTTTTAGGCATAAAGTGTCAAAAGAAGAAATATTCTAGACAAAATTTCACTATAAATCTCAGAATAAACCATAGATCTAGCTTCAATATTTTTTAAGAAAATTACATTTGAATTTAAATTTTTGAAAAGAGAAAACCTTGTGATTACATTTATACTCCAAATTTGACACGTTTTCATTCTAAGTCAATATCTCCCTCAAATCTTAATTTTTTGGCGGAAGTGTCAAAGGAAGAAATATTCGAGATGAAATTTCATTGGAAGTCTCTGAACAAAAGCAATATCTATACTCAATATGCACGATTAAAAATAGCATTTATTTTAGTTAATAAAAAACCCATTTATATAATATTAAAAACACATTTTGGGGTAAAAGCCATACTTCATGTGAGTTTTTGTAAAATGCTCCTACATAGCGTCATTTTAGAAGAATGATGTCAAAGACAAAAATATTCCTCATCAAAGTCACCGAAAAAGTCACCGAAAAAAAGAAATCTCTATTTCAATTATTTATCAAAAAATTATTAATTATTTATATTATAAAAAAATGCAAAAATATTTCCTCATTTTTGAAGCAATTTTTCTTCGGTCTTTTTTCGATTTAATGCATGAAAGTAACCTTAAATTTCGTTTTAGGCAGAAAGTGCCAAAAGAAGAAATGTTCTACACAAAATTTCACAATAAATTCTGAGATTATCTATATATCTAGCTTCAATAGTTTTTAAGGAAATTACATTTGAATTTAAAATTTTTAAAAGAGAAAACTATGCAATTAGATTTTTTACTTCTAATTTGACACGTTTCCATTCTAAGTCAATATCTTCCTTAATACTTCATTTTCTAGGGAAAGTGCCAGAGGAAGAAATATCGTAGATCAAATTTCATTGGGAGTCTCTGAACAAAAGAAATTTCTATACTCAATACGTACCTTTAAAAATAGCAATAATTTTAGTTAATAAAAACCCGTTTATATACAGGGTAAGATGAAAAAAACTGCAACCAAATTCAGACTGCTGTCATTTCTAAGCCACTAATCCGACAGCTGTTAAAATTATTCCAGTGACAACTCATTATATTGTTTGCAAGTGTACAAAAGCATTTTGGTCAGAATTTTCCGGAAAAAAGTAATTCGTGATGGAATTCAAGCGTGATAGCTTTATATTTGGCTGAAAACCACAAGTGGCTATCGTTAGAGCACTCCAGCATTTAAATGTGAAATGTGAATATTTTGTGTCTCGTACCATCGCTCGTTACCGCGATACTGGTAGCGTAGCCCGACGTCAAGGAAGTGGACGGAAGAAAACAGCAACATCAGCAGAAATGGTTCGAAAAGTAAAGAAGCGACTTGATCGAAACCCGCGTCGCAGTGGCCGAAAAATGGCTCGTGGCTCGTGAGCTGAAAATATCGCAATATTCCATTCGGCAAATACTGAAAAATGAACTCGGGGTAAAGCCATTAAAATTCCAAAAAGTACAAGAACTTACACCGTAACAGAATAGAAAGTAAATACATCTAAAGAGTTGCTTCACTTGGCCGAAAGTGGTGAACTGCCGAATTTGGTTTTTTCCTCTCCGATGAGAAAACATTCGTTGTCCAGCAGTTTGTTTGCAAACAAAATGATCGTGTTTACTTGCCAAAGAGGTCAGCTGAAAATGTGCACCTTCGGTTGGTCACCAGAACTCAAGCGCCGGCCATAACAGCCGATGGTCGCTCTCCGCTCGTATTTATCGACCGTGGCATCTGAATAAATGCCGAATATTATTGCGGAAATATTCTGGAGGGTGGGCACGCAATCATTTTGGCCGCAGACTTGGACATTCCAACAGGACTCAGCACGCGCCACCCAAGAATGGTTACAAAATGATGTTCCTCGCTTCATTTCCAGCACTTAATGGCCATCAAAATCTTCGGATACAAATCCATTGGACAATTGCGTCTGGAGTATTTTGGAAAGCAAGGTTGGCACTAAAAAATACCAAAGTGTCGATTACCTCAAGCAAGAGCTTCGCCGGGAATGGACCAAAATACCTCAGAGCAACATTCGGGCAGCGTGTCACGGTTTCATTGGACGTTTGAAGGCCAAAATTCTTGCCAAAGGTGATCAATTTGAACAAATCTAACCTTTTTCTAAAATTTGATGCAATTTTCGAAATTTTAT